CAACAAATATTTTTTTCTCTTTTGTTGTTTATACATTTTATTTTATACTTTCAGTACATAAACTAGCAACAATATTAGGTTATCCTTTTGTTGCTAAAAGCCATTGGCATTTCTATATGTAAGTTGTTAATCTAACTGATTTTTACCAGTAATTATTCTGTGAATATGCCACGAATTCGTTTCATGAATGATCTTAATTTTGATTGGTTCACAAAGGAATTTACCGACGTTTGACTGCCTCAACTGCACTTTTCTGCCTCTTTGCTAGTCAAGCTTGATTTCGCAAAATTTATTTATTTCAGTTAGCTATGAAATGTTAGGTTATGGTATACTATGTGATGGGGGTGGGAGTGGTAGTACTTGCCCGTCATTTTGGACGGGCTATACGCTTGTTTTTCTATTAAAAACTAGTTCGAACACTTAAAATTGTGTATTCATCATTATTGTAAATGATGAGGAAACTCTGGTATTATTTACTTTTGTTTGGTAGTATTTTTTTTTTTTTTTTTAGATATAAAAGTACAAAATATTCAAGTATAATCATAATTAACATGAAATTATCTTACAGTAAGAGTGGTCAAGTATGCTAAAATGGTTTTCTATAATAATAATAGTTGCATATGCAGAAGTGTTTATTGTAAGCAACAGCTACCTTCATGGACAGCTGTAAAATGTACTAATGTTTGCCATTTTGTTTCCGTTGGCCCCATTGATCTGAAATTGGTGTTAGGAAATTCAATTTTTTTTATCAATTTCAATGAGATACTAATATAATATGAGATAATGACTTTTGATCATTGATTTTGTCAGTCTTCCTTCACACTCTACACTTATATTAGACTCTAAATTCTTAAAGCGTTTCGCTTAATGTAAACGTTACTTGACTACAGATGCTCTACATTGATGCAAAATGTTTTTAAAGTTAAACAAAGAGCGACACGCAACTTGCTCGTTTCATCAGCTAACAACCATTAACGTACATTTTCTAAACACTATTTCTTTTGTTGAATACACATAGCACCCATGAGTGAGGAAGAAGCTGTCATGATTCACAGCGGCGTTTGGTTTATATTTCTTGAGATTATCAGAGATTTCAACATGAACCAGGTGCACTTCTTGAAAGACGAGGCAGAACCCATGAGATAACATTTACTTAACCTCTCCTAACATACATATATATATATATGTGTGTGTGTGTGTGTGCCTGTGTCTGTGTGTTTCTGTTTTTGCAAATTTGTAGCAAATAAGCATAAGTAATTAGAACCTTGTAGAACCGAAAATGATTATCTCTTTCAGTGAGGGGGAGAGACATCTCCAACATCGACACAAAGATACATTTCTATTTGAAGTAGTGAAATTATAATAGTTATATCATTAAACCTTTATTCGAAGGAGCAAAGACGCTCAGTTTTTGAATAAATTAAAGAATGAAGTTCAGCAGACCAATGTTTTAGCGAAGATAACATGTGATAGTTTTCGTATGCTGTTATTGTGCTGCTTATCGATCGATTGTATAAAACAAAAATAAACTTGCATATATATGTACCCAAATGTACACTGACTGGCCATTTTATTAGAACTATGTATCCTTTTAGACTTGGACCTGACCTGAGCTGCAGATGCAAATGAGGAAGATCACACGATGTTCAATTGATCCCTGCAACAGTGAAAAGTAAAGGTATTGCACCGTTCAAAAGAGATATGGTCAAACATGAAATGGCAAAAAGAGAGAAAGACAGTTAGATAGGATGGTAAAGTCAAACCGTCAACAACAACCAAATAATAGAGAGATTCACTACATGGCAATCCACACGCATCTCTAGCCGTAACTTGCGAAAAACAAATACAATGAATAAATTAGGGTAGTAGGTACCATTACATAATCCACTAACTCAGTCACCAACAAGAAAAAAATTCTTTGAACGATGTAAAGAGCGTAGACATTGGATTAAAAAGAATTGGTTAAAGGTAATGTGGTCCAATAAATTACGCTTTATCCATTTTTGTACAAGCGGAAGAAAACAAATATGGAAAAAGCTCACAAGAATAACTCAACCCTCTTGTGATCCCAACTGTCTAAGTCTCTGGTGGTAGAGTCATGGTTTGGGGAATGATTTCCTGGCATACCATGGACTCCTTGGTTTCTTTAGAAGGCAGAATGAATGCTACAACTAACTCAGCATCATTTCTTATCAAGTGAATCCAGGGGTGCTTCATGTTTACCCTGATAGCAGTAGCTACTTTCAAGGCGACAATGTTTCTTTTCACCATGCCGAAATTGTGCATGCATTAATTGAGGAAGATTCTGAAGACTTCAAACATCTCCCATTATCACCACAGCCCCGAATCTCAATACAATTGAGTATCTGTGAGATGAATTGAAAGACACATTCGTCATGACTATCCTCTTCACACCTCGCTTCATGAATTGCGTACAACATTACTAGCTAAATGAAGAAAACCTTCAGCTCAACTTCTAGCATCTTTTGGATTCTATTCCGCGTAATATCATGGCTATTATTCCGACAAAAGGTGGCCCAACCTGTTATTAGGTATAGCCCTTAACAACGTGGCCAGACAATGTATATATTTAAAAAACTTATTCTGGACTTCCGTACAAAGTGCATTTTAAGTTTCTAAATTAGGGTGGTAAATAATTTGACTGCACTTTACATACTAAGAACAGTTATTTTTCAATCAAGGCGCAAGAACGAATGAAACCATCTGCGTAATATATTGGCTAAATTCAAAGTTACTTTTATATGATATGGCTGGGATGATAATTTCTGTTTTTATATACTTCGAATAAATTGAGATAACCTTTGTAGGTATTACAGTGCGATGTAAGGTATCTAATGACACGAATAAAAATTGCAATCTCCATATTTTACTCGTTTCTTTTGTCTCGAACTAAAATTTACCAGATAAGTCTGCGTAACATTTGGGAACAAAAATGTCTTTGGAGTTTATAGCTCCTTGCTTATAACAATGTTAATTTATATATCCAAATTTGTATATATGATAGAATATGTTTGGGCCGTCAGAACAGTTACTACTAAAATATAGTTAGTCTTGTTTGTTTGTTTGTAATTAAGCACAAAGCTACACATTGGGCCATCTGTGCTGTACCCACCACGGGTATTGAAACCCGGTTTTTAGCGTTGTAAGTTCGTAGGCATATCGCTGTGCTACTGGGAGGCTATACTTAGTCATTTATGTGTATTAGGAAACATAACGGTATGATAATAGATTTATAGGAGACACAATGTTTTTTTAGCTTGCTGATTGAAACACAAGGTCGACAAGCATTCATATTTTTTAATGAGTAAGAAAGAAACTATAGTTAATATTACCATTGGCAACTTAACCATTAAAGTAACTGAGTCGTTAAGTCAATAAATAAATAAAAGATTCAAAGGTTGTTTCAGAATTAAGTTTGGCTTTCTGAGTTGGCATGAACACATTATAAAATTTAAACATATTTTTCGTTTAATTTTTGTGTGAATCGCAAACTTGTACACTTTTATTTCTCTTTGCCCCTGTAGTGTCTATTTAACTAAGTGAGAAACCCCCAACTCTTTTCCACCAGTGTTTTAGTATTCTTGCACACTGAAACTTTCTATTGGTTCTCTATGTGTACCTGTACGCGTGTATGTATGTATGTATAAAGATGTGTATGTACGTATATTTATATATATATAATTGTTTATTCAGATACTTTATTTCAGTTCAATGATTATTGTTTCAACACACATAAATTTAATTAAATCCCAAGTGATTCGGAACTTCATCAGGTTTTCTTCTTGGACTTTTAAACGAATTAATTTGTTACAACTTAATCATATCTATTCTTGAGGAAAAAATTTTTATTCACTAAGCATAAAAGCTATCTTGGTTGTGAATCAGATTTAAGCGTTATAAGTCTGCAGCTTCTCGCTGAGCTAATGTAAAATAGGAGGAAAAGATCAAGCTTTGAGTCTTATTATGGCGCCCTCCAGTGACACAGCGGTATGTCTGCGGACTTACAACGCAAGAAACTGGGTTTCGATACCCGTGGTGGGCAGAGCACAGATAGCCCATTGTGTAGCTTTGTGCTTAATTACTAACAAACAAACATCTAAATATGGCTGTATATTGTATTTGACTTCCAAAATAATTCAGTTGAAACCCTCTATATAAAAAGAAATAAGAAATTAAGCAATGGAAATAGCCCCTTTACTTTTAAACTAAAAGATTTACTTGCGAACTCCTCAGCTTCGTTTATTTTGTATCTGAAGGAACAGCAACAACAAAAAACAACAATCTTTCGACGTTTACAGTCAATCATACTTTAACCTTCGTTTACTGCACTCATAGCCGTATTTCGTAACTATAAAGCCCCTCATTTACTTCTTAGTATCAAAGTGCAATTTTTATAGTACTAATTCTAAATTGCTAAAATGTATTTGCGTTTTAAAATGTTTGAAATTGCCTCAGAAAATTAAAATCATATTATGACTTGTACGTTGGTGATATGGTTAATTAATTTGGACTATAATTCCATTTTAATCCCCAGCTAACTTCACTATCTTATATTGAGAAAAGTTGTTTCATGAAATGTTTATAAGTATAAAACTTTTTAACTTAGTGAATAAGCATTAAAGACAAATTTGTTTGTCTGCAACTCGTGTTTTTGATATTAGCAGCATAGGGCAATTTCGATAATTCAGTCACAGGGTAACTGGCGACACCGCCTGGCGACTTTAAGCTAATTTTAGAATTTGTGTAAATCTTTAAATGTAGATAATAAGAAACGAACATGTTTTATGGGACAAAACAAATATTACAACATTACACGTTATTTAGTGTAGATAATAAGATTTTTAAAATCTTATGAATTATAATTGAGAATATTAACTATGAATAAACAACTTAAAGTGTGCTAAGTTGTTCCTCATTTGTTTTGTGATGTTTTATTAATTTTAATTCAAAATAAAATAGTTCCTCGTCCAGCCCTCTGCACCGCCACTGAGCATGGTGTTATTCTAGTTTATAATTCTTATTGGGCAAACAGGTTAAGTACTTTATGCTAATATAATTAATAGTTTTATCTCTAATTAATTGTAATGTTAGTAATTCACGTTATCAAATTTGGTTAGCAATGTTCTTCATAATTTAGATTTTGTGAAAAATATCTTGAACGTTTAAGACTTAAGTTATAATATTAACGTCTTAAGTGAACTTTTGCTTATCAATAAACAAGACAGTAGGTTGAGTAACTAAAGGCTAAATACTAGGTTTAAACTAATAACTAACGGCAATATTTTAATTATATAAAAATTGGCGTTCTGAATTGTGTAGTTGATGGTGAAGAAGTAATAATGTATGTTAGAGATGTAAGTTAGTATTGATAAACATTTATAGTGTTGTTGTACAAATGTTATTTTGATTTACTAACCCCTATTTTTTTGTTACATATATATCTTAAAAATTGACAATTCGGTGAAACTTTGAGTTTGAGCATGCAAAGTGTAATTAACAGCGTTAAGGGAAAGGCTCTTGGGGTAGCAGAGTTTTTGACACCTGTTTTGAAGGTAAGTAGTTTAAGTAGTGAATTTAACTTGTACTACAAGTTGTAGTTGTAACTTGTAGGGCATTAATTTAATGTGAAAATCTGTCACTACTTTTGGAAAATTTAAGGTCTAACTTAGGAAAACGTTTGAAGAAATGTCCAATATTTCTAAGCAGTAATTAAATATGATCTTTTTTTTTCAATTACTATGTATAATTTACATATAAATAATAATTAATACAAATAAATTCTGGATGTGCAAAAATACGTTGTTCATCAGATGTTTTCTCAAGTATAAGTTAATCAAATGTTTTTGCACAGAAGTACAGTTTTAGATTTTAAGTTTAAAATAAAGATTTTAAAACTTGTAATGCTGATACTACTTTATCATGGAAGTATAGTTTTATTGTTACATGACAATTATTTAAAAGGTTGAGAAAAGTGATGCAGATTCCTGCTGTTTAGTTATTGCTTTGTAAACAAATTGATTGTTTACATTCTCAGGTATCAAAGTTCAATAAAACTGGAGTGGTAACTCCTGAAGAGGTAAGTGTTCCTTTTTTTTTACAAAATCTGCCAGACATCTAAATTACAAAGTTAGTTGTGTGTTTGACAAGATTCTTCTTTTAGTGATTTAATAAATAAGTTTATATAAATAAAAAACAATTTTACTGTTTTGGGGTCAAGTTTCTTAAGAATACAACAAAGGAAGAAGTAATTGTCCTTTAGTTTATCAAGGTTATTCTTCACTTATAACAAAATCAAACCAAATGTCAGAACCAAGTTAAATATAACCCCTCACATCCATGCATATTTAAGAGAAGTTTAAGAAAATTGAAATTAACAATGCATACCACACCATTAGGCAAAAAATTCTACAAGGTAATCCTTAACCAAAAAATAATTTTATTGGAAACAAGTCTGAGTTGTAATCAACATTGAAGTTTGTATTTTCAATCATTTTAATTTTTCTACTCCAACACACCATCTATTGGAAAATTGGCCATACTCTCAGAATTTCAACTGATGATACAGGGGGTTAATTGTAGTTTATTTTAATGATTTGCTTAAAACATTTGTATATATATATTTATATATATGTACTTAATCATTGATAAACTCCCAACTATTGGACCTAGTTAACTTGCAGTTGGAGAGATAATGAAAATTGTTCCCGAAAATAAATATTCATGCAGCAAGATTATTAAATGAAATAGAACCAAAGGGCACAAAACTGTTCTACTGAAGTATAGGAACTTTTTCAAATAGCAGAGCATTTGGAACAACAACCTGGAACATCATTCTTATATTTTTTAAAGTATGATTAACCTCAGAACTGATTGTGTTTGATAATAACACTTCTTTTAATAATTAATTTGTAATAGTTAGAAAATCATAAGAAGGGAAAACAAAGTATAATAACAGATACAAAGACAATGTTTAGGACAAAGAGCATTTAACATGTGTTAAATGCTCCATAAAATTCTGAAAACAAGGTACATTGCAGAATCAAGACATACAAATAAAGTAAAATCCAGATATTATAAAGTTTAGAAAAAAAATGATTAGTTGAATCTATGCATATACAAAACTTGAAGTAAATTGGAGTATATAATCAAAACATTAATTTTATTATGAAAGGAAGAGTAAGGTAAACTAAGAAAATGAAATATTTATGTAGCAATGTTGTTAAATAAAGTAAAACCAAAGACAACAACATGTTGAAGAAGAAAGCCTTTAATGTTGTCTGTGGTAGCACAAGAACTTCCACAGCAGAGAATTTGGAACAACAGCTGGCTCCAATACCATACTTTCAAACAATCTGGAGCTACACCTCAGTGTTGAAAGACTGATTGTTAAATGACATTTAATTTTTCAATATATATGACTTCACATGTATCTTTATATGAACCATGAATGAAAAATTTGATCCTGACAAAGTTATATTCAATTATTTACAAGTCAGTAACACTTTAGTTTTGATCCCTACTCTGAAATTTGAATATTCAAACATTCTTTTTAATTTGAAAATTGCCCACAGAACCTTTATGTTTTTTTTATCTTTACAAGCTCAGAATATGATTTGGTTGTTAATCTCATGAAAACCAAATTGAAAGACATTAGTCTTTTTTTTTCCTAAGTTAAATTTAATTCCTGTCATTTTGCATCTCTTCTTAAACATGCTCTTTAATGTTTCTAAAATTATCATTTTTACATATCCAAACAAATGAAATGGCATTATTGTTTTAAAAACATTTAGGGTTGTTTTCAAACATTCAAAGATAGTTCTAAACAGTTGAAGGTCTATCAGATGGCATTCAAGCAGTGTCAGATTTTTTTTTCTCTTTTTTTTCTTTTTAACTGAAACTATTTGACAATGTTTGAATAGAACTACACTTTAAATGTCATTTGCATGAAAAATTCAATCTTTAGATTCATATAATGACCATTACTTAATGAAAGTTGTATTTAAAAAAAAAAAACATGTACATCACAAAAGCATTTTACATAGCACAAAAGGATACAGGTAAGGCTGCATTGCTTCAGTAAAATGTACTAAATTCCTGGTGTACAAGATATGAAAGAAGTTTTATGCTAGAATAAGTATCAAACTTAAAATCTATGCTAACACTAATAATTTTAATGTTGAAAAAAGACCACTTGTCCTCCTGAAGGCATATGTTTAATTAATCAACAATTTTATGTTAAAAAGACTTACAGTTGATCTGCTTGGAGTAGTGACTGTTAAATAAAAGATTGGTTTTACTTGTGTCAGTTGAAGTTCTTTCAGTTGGCAACAATAGGGTGCTCTTGCAGTGCAAGCTTACTGTATGTAGCTATGTGAGTATTGCACATAACATCAACTATATGTTCATAAAATCCTTTTTTAAAGTATAAAAACATGATTACTGTTCTATATAACATATCTTTAAACTACATATGAATGTACTTTGTTTATATGTATTACTATAAAATATGAAGGTTTTCAGTCATATACAAAATAGTAGTTATTGTGATATCATCAGTACATTTTGCAAAGTAGTAATTTCAAAGGTTCATATCTTCATTCACTAATATGTTCTGAACATTAAAAAATCCAAAATCTACTCTTTGTCACAGCTCTAAAAAATTAGTGTATTACAAAAATTAACTACTTCTTTAATATCTATTACAGCATTTCAAATTGGACATTAACTTACTAACATAATTATAAAAAAGAAGAAGAAATCCACTAGTTTTCAAAAACCTCTAAAGATAAGAAAAAATATATCAACACTTATCACAGTCAAGTGTCATACAGGACCAAACCAGGCATTCTTTATGGCATTCCCAAAGTGCTTTAGCTCCAGTCCTTTCAAATTATTCTTTTCATCTGCTGAAATGTGTAGTTATAACCTCATGAAATTTCTTGCTGCTATTTTTAAACCCATTCATCTACTGGAACCTGTAATTATAACCTTGTGAACATTTTTGTTGCTATTCTTAAATCCTTTCATCAATTGGAAACTGTAATTATAACCTTGTGAAATTTTTTGTTGCTATTTCTTAAACCCTTTCATCAGTTGGAACCTGTAATTATAACTTCAGTAAATGTATTGCTGCTATTCCTATTCCCTTTTATATACTGGAACCCTGAACTATAAATTAATGAGATTTCTTTTTGCTCTTCTTGTACACCTAACTTCTAATGAATTGCCCTCAAGTGGCTCATCAGTAAGTCTTTAGGCTTATAACACTAAAATCTGGATTTCAATACCTGTTGTATGTACAACACAGCTACCACATCGTATAGCTTTGTGCTTGACTACAAACAAAACAAAAATCTAATAAATTTATATTATGGACTCTTTCACATTTTCTACTGAAAGTAAAAACAAAGTCTCTGTCCAGCAGTAAGTTAGTTTGGATATGGATCTCTGAGAAACCAATATTCCCCTGTCTGGAATCTTAAAAATACTTTTCACCCATTGTTTTCTAACAGACAGTCTTCCACAAATTTCTAACTCTCATCATAAGCTTAATTATTTCATCTGTAACGGCATGTTACATGCAAAGTAGATGGTGTCATTATCGATTCTTCCTTTGGACCAACTTTGGCCTTTAGTTTTCTTTGTCAAAATAAATGCACATGGTTAACCAACTGCCTGAATGAAATGTACATTACCTTTTTATAATTCTTTATATCTTAAAGAAACATTTATTGGGCTGTATACCAATTATGACAGCTTGTTACTTTCAACTCTAAACTGGTTGTTTCTTTTAAACAGGTTATTTAATCTTTGTTGTAGTTACACCAATCTACACAAAGATTATTTTTGTACACAACCTCTTGAAAAAAAGGTAGCTACCCAACAAACTTTCAAAATAACAGTTTCTTATGCAAGTTCCTTAGCAAGATTCTGACCTATTTAAAGAGTCGTAATAAACTATGCATGTCTTCAAATTTAATTTTATTATATGTGTACCTTTTCATGAATTCTGAAAGTTTTCTGATTGATAAAAAAAAACTATCCCCAGAGTCAACTTTTATTTATCTTAAGACCAAGTTTTGGAATTAAAAACTTCTTTCAATATAAAGGCCTACTACTGACACTCGTTCATTCATTATGTGTAAAAATTGTGTAATTCTTAGTGCATTCACAGCTTTTGGTGTATACATAGGACATTCCTCTATTCTTTATTAACATAAAATAGGACAACAAGGGACCATTTGATCCTTCATGTCAATTTTAACACACCCACTTTGAGAGAAATACTAATTTAAACCCACCCTTTTTTTTGTCAGGAAATCATTAATTCCCCTTTTAAACTCGTTTAAAATGTCAGCCTCCACCTCTGTCACTGTCAATTCATTCCATAAGCCAGTCACCCTGTTAGAAAAATAAAGCTAACTTAAATGGACCCTAGCCTGTCATTTTCATATCTTAAAATTGTGTTCTCTTGTCCTGTTGTCTTTAGAATACAACACAATATTCCAGCAAGATTTCTTTCCTCATGTGTTATTTTTAAATATTTTTTCACCATCGTAAAAGTGGCATCTTTGATATCTCTCCATAAATAACTTGTAGCATTTATTCTTAATTTTGCATGATTTTTATAATCATTTAAAAATTATATTTAATATAATAGTAAAATGTTTTAAAGAAATCAATACATAAATGTAATTTCAAAAATGCAAATTATTTTCAAATTCAAAATTCTATTGTCGTTTTTTTTTTCCAGATGAAACTAATGTCATTTTTGCTTTAAAAATTGAGCCCTTTCTTACCATCATATAGTTACTTCATAGCTGAATGTTTGTGTGTTCATGTTTAGTATCTTAATGATAATTCCTTCGTATCACTTTATTGTTTACTAAGTTTTAATGTGTTTATTTATCAGTTTCCATGAGGTATTCATTAATTGTTTACAAGCTGTTTAATTTATTTTAGCAGGTGACCATTTACTTCATCACTGCCTAACATGGCAATTGGCAAGTGGGAACAATCGTTTATTGTTTACTAAGTTTAATGTGTTTATTTATCAGTTTCCATGAGGTATTCATTAATTGCAGGTGACCATTTACTTCATCACTGCCCAACATGGCAATTGGCAAGTGGGAACAATGCCAAAGAGAAAACCTACCTACCTCACGATAAACGGTTTCTTGTGACAAGAAAGTGTGAGTATAAGGGCAACATACTCTAAAATTGAAGTTCCCAACACATGAGCCAGGCAGTTTTCTGGAGCCCATTTTTAATTTAGAGAGGCTTAACTGTGGGCGTGGTATTAACTTTTCAATAGGTTTACCTCAGTCTTCCCAATTTGAAAAATTAGCTAACATTCTTTCCTATGTAGGGATGGATGTTGGTGGGGAATATAGTGCTGAGGAATTTATAAATGAACAGAAACTCATTTTTCGATGATGATTATGCATGGTGGGGGGGGGGGGGGGGTAATATAATCTAATTTTACTGCTATTATTATGGGGTTAATTCTGTTCCCACAAATGGCCATAGAAATATAATTTGCTGCTTATTAAGTATTGCAGATACTATAAAAAATGTAAATGGTTTACGGAACTAATATATTTTGTAGTATTTTGCTGTAAATTTGTTAAATTTTCCTAATTTCCTTTAACAAGTTTGATAAATATAATTTATATATATATTTGCAGGCAAATATATCACTCATATTTTGTAGTAGATTACCTAAATGTGATTTTCTAATAAGTCAGAACACAGCATACAATGCTTAAACTGTTAGTGTTGTCAGAAAGGAAAAGGTAATATTAATAACTGTTTATTTTAGGAAAAATATGAAATATTACAAAAGGTGTGACTATATGCATCTGATAGAAACTGCCTGTATTTTTGATAATTAATAGGTATGTAGCTAAATATGAAAAATACAAACACACAAATATCATTAGAAGGTTTGTCTTACCTTTTAAAAAAGGGCAGTTTTACTGAGAAACCCCTATTTGTCGGGGATCTATGCATTTGTCCACCACTGATTATTAAAAATGTAGTTTGAATATTATATTTAGTTATCTATGCTTGTTATTTTGTGTGTATTTATAGGTAGGTCTGATCTATGTTGGTAACTTACTTTGATTATGTAAATTTATTTTGATGAGAATTTGTATTTACATTTGCCTTGTAGGTTAGTGTGGAAAGTTTTTTAACTGGTCTGTGTATTATTTTCCATTTAACCTGTAAGATGGTAAACACTTTTAAATAATTTATGTAAAAGTATATAATATTAAAGAAAGCTCTAGGTTGTAAAAGGTGTCAGAAAAGTTCAAGGAACAAGCATATTCTGCTGCTTATTAAATATTGCAGATACTATGAAAGATGTAAATGGTTTATGAAAGTAACATATCGTGTAGTATTCTGCTGTAAATTTGTTATATTCTCCTATTTTCATTCAATAAATTTGGTAAATATAATTTAATATTTACAGGCATATAAATTACTCATATTTTGTAGTAGATTATCTAACAACCTAATAGGTGGTTAAAGAAAACAATTTTTTAATGAGCATTGTGTGTTCAGTTATGTCTATATTAACCTGAGGATTACTGGTGGATCCTGTTAGCTTTTTAAACAGATTTTTCTAAAGTTGTCAGTGAACTAAATTCCCCGTGGGTCAATATTTTTGTGGGTTACAGAGTCCCTAATAGCATGAGTCAAACAAAAAGGAAAAGAAAAAAATACCATCAATATTGCAGTTAATCCCAGTAACTATTGTTTGGATCTCCTGTGTATTTTACAAAGAAAATGAACAATTTCACACAATTTATTTTGGTCAGACCTTTACAGTGAGTGTTGTAACAGTCAAAAACATAAAGTTACTAAATATGTTGCAATATATGTACCCAAACAGTAGTGAACAGTATAAAAACAAGTTAGTAATTTGAAGGTTAATGGCATTAGTATGCATTAATATTTATAATTTACCACCTAGTGCCTTGTTATAAACAATGTAAACAGATTGAGTACTCAAAAGAACAGAAGGTAATTGAGGCTGAAGATGATGAAGGTGGTTGGATAGACACACACATCATTATACTGGTAAGTGACCATTACTTACATATGGCACACAAAAAGAAAATTAATAATAATTTGCTATCATTGTGGTGTAGGTGAACCTGGGCTTGTAGCTAATTCAGCAAATTATATGTGAACATCTTTGGTTTAAAAAAACAACAATTTGGATATACTCTTCTTAAAAACTTAAGGATCACATAGGTTACATGTTTCACTTCACACATAAAGTGCATTTTGAAGAAGACACTGTCATTTTTTCACAAGTGAAGTGTGAGGTTTCTAATATTATAAGATTGCATGTTCCAGATGTGTTTGATCAAATTCAGTTAAGGTTACTGTGCCGTCTAGGCTGTTAATGCAATACATTCTTGTTTTAGTAAGTCCTTTAGCTGCTGTTACTCTCTGTTATCTAGTGCTATCCCTCTTTAAGATGAACAGCAAGCCAACTTTACCTGTGAATGACTACAATAACTATAACTGTATGGCATTTCAAAAGTTTAGTATGCTACCAGTGAACCTGGGCTTACTATTCAATATGATGATGTACCACAGTCACTCAGTGAATTCATTCCAAAGTAGTCATACAACTCATCTTTTGCCATGTACTCCTCTGTATCTGCTGAAGCTGAGCCTGAATTCACACTTTGTTGTGTGAACCCCTGTTATTGCACCAACATCCTCAATCCCATCATTCAGCTCCACTACTGTCCATTTAATAATGTTGGGCTGTACTGAGTACACTTTGGGAAACACTTTTTTTTTATCAATAAACTGTTTTCTAACTTATGTGGTGATTAATGTGATAACTGCTTCCATCCCTACAGAAGTGAACGATGTTGTACATAAAAAAAAATAGTACAAAACGTTTATATAAGTGGACCGTATATAAAAGACAAACTTGATTATCTCATTAGAAGAATTTATCCTAATGCTAATTAGGGATGGGTGTTTTTTCTTACCAGCTATTAGAATGCAGAACATTTTTGAGCTCACATATAACTGCCTTATCTTCGTTTACAAATAACAATGCCCTAAGTGTTGTAGTTTACATATTAGCTTTACAAGATGTGTTTTGAGAGCAGGTCAGTGAATGTGTTAATTCTAGGAACTACAAAAGATCAAGTGTCACAAACTATAGTATATTTAGCTGTGTTTAAGGGATTGTCTATTTCTGATAATTTTACTTTGTAGTTGGTGCTGCGAAACATAAAAAACACTTACATAATAAGAAACTATTTCATTTTAACTTCAACTTCCTCAACACTACCTCTTAGCCAAGCTGCTGATTCACTTTTAAATCATAAGCTTTGACATATATTATTTTTTATTTTTGTGTAGAAACTAATATCTCTTATTAAAATTGAAATGCGTATAACTTCTTGACCTAGAATAATACTGTTAAGTACGAAAATTTTTTTCTACAAATCATTTTAGCTCCAGTATGTTAGCAAGATTCTGCATGTCTACTATATGAATATTTTGTGTTAAATGTCTTTATGTTTGATAGTGATTTTTAATGGAGTTGGTATTGTGTACGCAGCATGTGTATTTTATGTGATCTGAGAACTCCAACCTTTCCTTGTATATAAAGAAACCAACTTACATATTTTTTATACTGTCTTCTCTAAACTTTGAATTCTAGTCTCATAATGTAAACTAGTTTGGTAGCATGTAACATTTTTTTATATTTTTTTCAAGACTTTCATGTACTTGCCATCGTATGAAATAAAACTTTTTTTCTAGCTCTGTCATACAATTATTATTCTTGGACCATATTCCTGTTTTGTATGGTTAGAGATTGTTTGCCTTTATTACAGGAAGCATCAAACACTCCAGCACATCCAGGTAGAAGAGATGAGAATATAGATGCTGAAGATATGGATGCTTTTGTAGAAAGTGGAATGTTGGATAATGAGGACAAAGTATTAATTATCTGTAGACTTGTTATTAACATAAACAGCACCATTACTACAGTAAGATCTGTGCAAATAACAGCATAATTGGGTATGAATGAGCTGAAAATATTTCCATATTTTATGTTACTTTTAAGGGTATTTCACTAGCAAGGATCTGCAGGGGAATTTGTTAACATGATTTTCTTGTTCTTTGCTCCAACTTGTTATGAAGTTCACAGAGTTTGAAACAAAGATCATCATTTAACAAGTTATTAAATTATAAAAACTTCATCCTTTCATTGGCAAATTTGGATGTGATGATGCTAATAATTTTTTTAATCAGTAGTGAATGAGATATGGTGTGTCCAAGCAGCTGCATTATTGCTTTAGCAAAAAATTTTAAGTCTTTATTTCAGACACTGATTTTGCCATGGAGTATATAAACCTTTTCATTAATAGTCATTTTTCTTACACAAAATAGTTAGGTTTTATTTCAGAATACACTAAACAAAACTCATAATGTTAATTCTCTAACCATTGATTTTCAGTAATTTTCACAATTTGAGGTCTGCCAGTGGGTCAGTGGTATATTTACAGAGTTACAACACTAAAATCTGGGGTTTGATTCCCCACAGTGGACAGAGAACATACAGCCCATTGTGAGGCTTTGCTCTAAACAAACATCACAATACAAGGGACTTTTCATCAGTTGGCCTGGTCTCTTGACATAATATTTGTAGCAAACATAAATCTAAATCTGTGGGCATATTTTTGGTATTTTGATTAAATTAAAGTTATATCTAATAATAGCTGGAGATGGCTTGAATGGGTAATGAAGAAAAACTTTCAAGCCGTCTCCAGCCATTATTAGTCTCAAAGTGGGTTCCTTGTCATCGAATTTAAAGTTATATCTGTTTGTAATGTCTTTGCTACTAATATTAATATTATTTTGTTTTATTGTTTGTGTGTGTGTGTGTTAGTTTTGATTTATGCTTGTGTTATTTTAGTGTGTGTAGTGGAAGCTGCCATCTCAGTAAATGTATTTCAGTTTATGAATGTGTTATTCTAGAGTTTTTAATGAAAGCTGTCATCTTAGTAAATGTATTTCAGTTTATGAATGTGTTATCGTAGTTTATTTAATTGAAGATATCATCTCAGTAAATGTATTTTTGTGTCTGGATATCTTATTGTAGAGTTTTTAATGGAAGCTGTCATAGTAAATGTATTTCAGTTTATGAATGTGTTATTGTAGTTTGTTTAATGGAAGATATCATCTCAGTAAATTTATTTTTGTGTTGTTTGGAAGTAATGGAAGTTTTTATCTCAGTAAATGTATTTTGTGTATGGATGTGTTATTGTAGTGTATGTAATGGAAGGTTTTATCTCAAGAAATGTGATCTGAAAGATTGCATTTGCATTATACTAAACTTGTGTATATAATTTTTTCAGGCTACACTGGAATTACAAACATCTAAACCAAAAGACCAGGAAAAAGATGCTAGTATAATATATATGAGATAGTATAATATATGAGAGTATAATTGTGTCCACAAGAACGTATGATTTAAGTATCACGTACGATAAGTACTATCAAACTCCTCGCCTGTGGTTCTTTGGTTATAATGGCATCAGAAGAAATTTTTAATAATTATAAAATCTTTATCTTCAGATTTGCTTTTGCTGAAAGAATATGTACTTGATGCTGCAAACCAAAACAAATATGTTAAAATTGTAGCAGAAAATGTTTTAGGTTCTTTAAAAGTTTTGCCACTCTTTTTTTTTTATGTGATCTTACAACAATAACATTTTGCTACCATGTTACCATCAGTGCTTCCTTTAATATTAATGTTTTATGATAATATTTGTGAATTAAAATACCTGAGCTTGTTTCTCTTGAGATTGTGGAGCACATTGTTTAAATTAACAACAATTATTGTACATTTCAGGTCTTATTTTTAAGAATTTAAAAATTAAAGAAACAGAAATGCAACTCAAGTAAAAACCTTTTCTCTCTTTCCTGAAATGCAAAATATTATAGATCTTATTGTAATTTGCTGACATATGTATACACACAATATCCTGCATATGACAAAAGTGCATCAGAAGTTGTAAAATCCTGTTTTAAATTTCTTAAAAAATTCTCCCACCCATATTAAATTTATTAGGAAGAAAACTGTTTTACCCCACACTTTATAGTTGGTTCCCCGGTGGGCCAGCAGTAAGTCTACGGATTTACAATGCTAAAATTAGGGGTTCGATTACCCTCAATGGACACAGATAGCCAGATGTGACTTTGCTATATATAGATAAATAACATAACATAATACTTTGGGACAACATGGGACCTATTGGTCCATCTTGGCTGTTCCATCCTCAAAACTAAATTAAAATGATTAAAACAACAAAATAATTTTAAACCCATCCCTTTTCATTCATATACTTATCAAGCTTTTTCGTAAATTTAATGCCTCTACAACATCTGAAGGCAACCCATTCCAAAGACCAACCACCCTGTTAGAAAAATTAAACTGTCCAAGGGTAGATACAGGCCCAGGGTACACCCCCTGTTTTGAAAATTAAATCAAAATAATTGCAAAAATTGGATCTTTGAGGGGGGAAGAATGTAGTGAAATTTCATATTAAATTCAAAAAATAAAAAAAGCAATAACAACAACATCTAGCAAACATTATAACAAATCTAAGTAACCCATTTAACTCCTACCAAGGAAGTCCCAAAAATTCTTCGTTCATGTTCAGAATTGTTGTGCCTCCCAGTTTTCAATATCCTGGATCCGCCACTGCTGTCTTAGCTGAAGATGACTCCAACCTTATCCAAATTGATATTTGTGTCCCCTAGTGCTACTATTCTCACTGTTAAGTATGAAAAAAGATGATGCATCAGCACTATCAATTCCTTTTACAATCTTAAACATCTTAATCAAAACCCCCTAACTCTTCTCTTTTCAAGAAAAAAACAATTTGAGAGATTTCAGCCTCTCCTCATATGACAACCCCTTCCTCCCAGGCGCCATTCTAGTAATCTTTCTCTGAACCCTTTCCAACAATTCAATGTTTTTCCTAAGATAAGGAGCCCAAGACTGAACACAATATTCCAAATGTGGCCTAACCAGTGATCTGTACAATGAAATTATAACCTCTTTAGACTTGTATTCAATATTTAGTAAAAAAACAAAGAAAAAGCAAAATTTAATAACCCAGCCATCTCATAATCATCAGATACTAGCCTTCCTTTATCATCCCTCAAGGGTCCTACCCCATCCTAACATTTTGTTTACCCTTAATGTATAAAGAAATCCTCACTTTTAATTTTTACATTTTTAGCCAATCTCTTCTCATACATCATTTTTGATGTAGTAATTTCCTGTTTCACCAACTTTCTTGACCTTTGATAATCGTCTAAATCTCCTGTCATACCAGTCAATTTACATTTCTTACATTTATGATGCTTTTCTTTAATTTTATTTCTTATACCATTTGTGAGCCAACCTGGATTTTTTTTACTTGTAGCTACCCTTTTCTTTCTATAAGGAATATATTTACTTTGAATATTTAAAAATTTATCTTTAAAAAGTTTCCACATCTGATC